GAATCTGATTTAGAAGAGGCAGTTATTACAACATGGAATAGTATTGCATTCGATAAAATTAAGAAATTTATAGATACTATGTCTAAATGTGTAAAAGAAGTAATTAAAAAGAAGGGGTATGCAACACATTGGTAGTTTATTTTTTTACGTATAAAAAATAAAAAATATGTGAAGTAAATTTTTTGTGTTATAAAAATCGCCCTAATGCGGTGTCACCCGTCTGTACATATAAATTCTTTGTTATATAGGAATGTTCATTGCGATAGGAAATACCATTTACTTTAATATCATATTTCTGACTAGAATTTCTACATTTTCTTTTGAAAATTTTAAACATGGGCTCAAGTTTACGCGAAAGATGCAGAAATTGCAATGCAAAGAGACTTCTTAAATATGGTGACTTGTGCACTAGTTGTCATTCCGCCCAGTTTCAATACATTAACAGCGGAAATCAAGATATAGATGATTTAATTAAAGCAACACATAGCAATCGACCTAACTTTAGATTAGAATGGATCCCGTTTGAAGAGTTTACAAATATTAAACCAATTGGAGAAGGCGGATTTAGTAATATATTTACTGCCAAGTGGGAAAAGGGAAGAATAAAAAAGTTTAAGGAGCAAGATAAGGAATTTAGTCGAGCAGGTCCTGAAACTGTTGCGCTAAAAATTCTTAAAGATTCTCAAAACATTAATTCAATGTTCTTAAAAGAGGTGAAGTACAAAATTCAGCTCGGTTTAATATAATAATAATAATAATAAAATACTTAAAAGAGATTATTTTTTATAGTTGCAGATTATCGTTCAAACTCAACCAAAATCCTCTGACCGTTATGTTATTCAATGTTATGGAGTATCTCAAAATCCAGAAACAAAAGATTATATATTTATTATGCCTTATATGCAACATGGAAGTTTGCGCGAATATTTATCCAAGAATTTTAATAGCATTAGTTGGATAGACTGGGGAGAAAGCGGAATATCGAAAGTAAACTTTCTTAGAACTATCGTTACAGGCATTAAATGGATTCACCGAAATGAAATTATACATCGCGACATACATAGCGGAAATATATTAGTACATTCAAGTAACGAAACAGTAATCGCAGATTTGGGTTTTAGTCGGCCTGCTAACGAAGATCCGGGGAAAAGCGTATACGGAGTCATACCATACATTGCGCCTGAAGTATTTGATAAAAGAGGGTTTTCATCTAGATCTGATGTCTACAGTTTAGGAATGGTTATGTGGGAACTTACTACGGGAAAATATCCCTTTTATAATCGGGAACGTAATATACACCTCGTTATGGATATATGTCGCGGAGAACGTCCCAAGATTACAGAGGATACACCAGAATTATGGGCTAGATTAATGGAAAGATGTTGGCATTCGGATCCTTTAAAAAGACCATCAATCGAAGAAGTATACAAAGAAATAAATTCTC